ATATATATGTGTGTGTGTGTGTGTGTGTGTGTGTGTATGTGTGTGTTTGTGTATACACAAACACACAGAGTTTGATTTATCTATGTGTATATGTGAAACATATAGTGAGAGATTAAAGGGAGAGTTCATTAACAGGAAAGTTCTGTTATCATGTACTCATGTTGTTACAAACCTGTATGATTTACTTTCTTCTGCTGAAAACAGAAGAATATATTTTGAAGAATGTAAATAACCAAACAGTTGGTGGTAGCCAGTGATTTTTCCATACTATGGAAGTCAATGGCTATCGTCAACCCACATTCTTCAAAATCTAATTTTCTGCCAATTTTAATTAAATCAATTCAATTATAAAAATGAAAACAAGATGAACAATTTCATTACAGAAAACTGTACACAAAACATGTGCCAAAATTGAAAATGAAATGATTTCATTTTCATTTTAATATTCACTGTGACAATGCATTGTCCTTGCCAAATTGAACAAATTAAATGCAGTTGGTGATCTCGAGGCAAGACTGCCAATACTAAAATGAAAAGGCAACAGTGACAAAGAAACGTCTCGGTTATGTATGTAACCCTCGTTCCCTGAAGGAGGGAACGGAGACGTCACGTCGGAGGACCATTGAAATTGGGATCTCGCTTAGAGGGACCAATCTACTTCAAGTGTAAACTAAACGAGCCAATGCACATTGGCATGCGATTATTGCATCCAGCTGCTGCTGATCACAGCGTGAGTATAAGTAGGCAGCAGGTGCAGCGCATATTCAGGTTTTCGCTGAGGAGCCGAGCCGGTGACCCGGCCGCTCAGCAGTGGTACAGGAGCTGTGGCGACGGGACGTGACGTCTCCGTTCCCTCCTTCAGGGAACGAGGGTTACATATGTAACCGATCAACCGCCTTTCTTGGGTACAATTAAGTAAGGGCTGTAAAACCCCGACCTCATATCGGCTGGAGGGACCGGCTCTATCGCGTCCTTCACCAGTAGGACTGCGATCTCTGCACGCAAGACAGGGGCATCTGCTGCTTTCACTGACGTTGTGAGCCAAAATCATCACAATTAAAAGAACCAAAGCCTTAAACTACTTCAGTCTGTGTGCATTGAATTTATTTAATACACGAGTTTCACAATTTGAGTTGAATTACAGTTGAATTACTGAAATAAATGAACTTTTCCACGACATTCCAATTTATTGAGACGCACCTGTAATAAATAATTTTTGAGCAGCAAATAAGAATATTAGAATGATTTCAAAGCTATATTTTTAGCATCATTACTCCAGTCACTTGATCCTTCAGAAATCACAGTAATAAATTGCATTTTAAAATATTTTAAAATATTTTCAAATAGAAAAGTTATTTTAAATAGTAAAAGTATTTCGAAATGTTACCGTTTTTGCTGTATTTTGGATCAAATAAATGCAGGCTTGGTGAGCAGAGCGTTCATATCGATATCGGAGTTATATCATAACGACCGAAATTAAGAAATATATTGTGATAATATGAAATATACAGTCCTAGCTTAGGGCACCTATTTGGCCAGCAGTGGCCCTGGCAGAAGGTCAACCACGATTCCATTTTAGAAGGAAACACAAAATGGCCAAAACTGCAGTTACTGGCTTTATACATGCGGGGGCACTAAAAACTAATTCAATGACCAAATGCAAGACAGACACCCAAGAAACACATTTATAAACAGTATAATTTAATTGTTTTCTCCATACAATACTCGTATGCTTCATAAATTGTTGTTAATATTCTTTTTAGATTATTGCTTTACAGTAAAATGCATTGGCTGGATACATCCATTGCTTGCAAGACAATACATTCAAGTTACACACCAACATCTTAAGTTGAAAATCATTAAATCTGTACTTCACAGAAGGTTTATGCCGATCCTCTCACAGTGCAGCAGGTCACTCGTGGAGCAGTTGGGCATGTATCTGTGCATGTGCGTTTAATAAATCAAGATCCCGCATTAGAAGTTCTCATAGCCTACTTTTGTGCATATTCACGCGTGACAGTCATTTGAAGCGTTTTCCTTTAAGTTCTCGCCCTCTTAAGAGGCATACAATGGAGAGTGCATATAAGTCTATTTATGTGAGAGTGCTATACAACTGGCAACAAAGACATCCCGTCTTAAGTGACCCTATGAAACATTAATCAAACTGCTCCGGAGGTCCGAAGTTTATAAAATACAATTAAATGGCAAAAAAATACTCATCTTATTTCAAATATAACGATAGCATTTACATCAAGCATGGCACAAATTATCAGCAACAAAGTCAACAGTTAAGGATAGTGTGCTTACAAATACAGTGGGTACAGAAAGTATTCAGACCCCTTTAAATTTTTCACTCTTTGTTATATTGCAGCCATTTGCTAAAATCATTTAAGTTAATTTTTTCCCCTCATTAATGTACACACAGCACCCCATATTGACAGAAAAACACAGAATTGTTGACATTTTTGCAGATTTATTAAAAAAGAAAAACTGAAATATCACATGGTCCTAAGTATTCAGACCCTTTGCTCAGTATTTAGTAGAAGCACCCTTTTGATCTAATACAGCCATGAGTCTTTTTGGGAAAGAGGCAACAAGTTTTTCACACCTGGATTTGGCGATCCTCTGCCATTCCTCCTTGCAGAGCCTCTCCAGTTCTGGCAAATAAAGTAGGCTATATGAATGCCCTGGCAAAGAGATTTGCCAAAACAACCAGGGAGAAACTAACAAAGAATAGAAATTGGCAGCAAAGAATTAATTTAATGCTGAAAATAAATAACTAGGCTATATAACGTGGGAACCAGCATAGGAAGAAGCTTTCGAAGCACTTCCAACAGTGTGCGTATGGTGTATCAATGTCATCTGAATAATGTAATCGTACAGCTCACCACCGAGAAACACCACAGAACAAAGAGCGAAGGAAAAAGTATCACCACACGACACCACAGTCATTCCGCACAGCACATCGCCACAATAAACTAAAGTCGACATTCTACAGAATGGCAATTATGTGCTGTGAGATTAGATGACAGAATCTGCATGCATGCGTTACAGCGGTGGGCGACTTCAGCAGCTTTCACAAACATGGCTCATCTATGAAAATATAATCCCCGTACTCAGCCCTCACCGACTGAGATTGCATATATCATAAATAATGTGTACATCAAATACTGCAACACCGGTCTTTTTGCACAGACAACAGAGACACCACCTCCTAGCACTTAATGACAGGTTCTACGACTGACAAAAGACACAAAGACACGTTCCTCTACGCTCCTGAGCCCACTATAGCAGCTGAGTGAACGGGGGTCCTGTAGCTGCCATTTATGGGTGAATCCCAGGAAACAAGTTCGGGTCATATTTTACCACAAAACAAAGAAATAAGATGTTATGTTATGCTTAAAGAAATTACAGTCTATGAGGACCATTACATTTTTTTTTTGTATTGTGACATCACGGCAAACGCATTTTCAACCTCCAACAAACAACATTACCGTAATTTTCATTACTGCAATGGGGGGAAAAAAAACAAAAAATCTCATTACCGTAATGCAAAAAAAACGTAAAATTTCCATTGCTGCCAAAAAAAATTCACCACAATGCAAAATAAAAATCTCATTACAATAATACAATCAAAACATTTCCTTTACCACGTAACAAAAATCTTATTCCTATTACTAAAATGCAAAATAAATAAAATAAAAAATCATTACTATAACACAAAAAAGCATTTAAATTACATCTAAATAATTTTAAGCATTTATAAATCAGAGTAAATAATTTTAAGCATTTATAAATCGGAGTAATATTAATATGGCAATTTCTTTTAATTTATGCTAATTTAAATATATTTTTATTACGGTGTGCACTGTGCACGTATTACAGTATCAAGTTCACATGTAATACAGCGAAGAGAATCCAGGGTTGAAAATGTGCTTAACTTTCAAGAAAATAAATGTTGCAATGCAGACAAATCTTAAAAGGTTCTCAAACGTAACTTCCTTGCACAATACAATTTATTTTTCTTTTGATTTTGGGATGAAATATGACCTGGGCACATTTTCTTGAGATTCATCCTTGTAGGGACATTGATGTGAGCTCACAAATCTTTTGCCCTGTTTTAAAAATGGCTTCTTTGTGTCAGATCATGCATTACAGACAAACGGTAATAAAGATCCAGAGAGGGAGATTAGGGTGCATTGGAAATAAAGAAAAAGTGGCCGCTTCGGTCACGTGTGTAAATTCACCCTCACCTCCCATCATCTGTAAGGAAGCACTGGTTCAGACAGGATCAGTGAGGTTATATTTACATAGAAACAAAAAAACGCATCGATTTGTAGCATGTTTGCAAAATCCAGGATCTTTGTTTGCGATATCATCAGTATGTGTATGAAATATCAAAGCAGCCACAGTTGTCAGTCTCATTGTCCATATTGCAAAACAAGCAAAGAGCGGTCCTGAGGATCGTCTGCTCTGGTCTGAACGAGAGGTGAGGAGCAGCTTTTGATGCGTGCTTTACGATTGGTTCCATTCACTGGTTAATGCAGGTCTGGAATAATAAAGGGGAAACTGAAACGCGTCTAATATTAGAGCTTCTGTTTCCGTGTGTCAGAAGCTGGTCCTCTCGCTGACCTCTCAGATGGGCACCTGCCGGAAGCTCTCAGTAGGAAATATATCGTCCAGCTCATGAGGATTTCATAACAGCTCGCCCCCTGCCACATGATCCATACAGAAAATGCTTCACATCTGCTGTGCATCTTTTTTCAAGTTTTTTTCTGTGTAACAAGCTGCGAGAATCAATTTCTTGCCTGAAGGCAGTCATTCCATGTCACTTTCATCTTTTTATTGCGCCACATCAAGGACATACTTTCATTTTTCCATACCGGAGGAAATAAATTAATATGATATAGATGTTTTATGCCACATATAAAGTGCATTATGTTCATGTCATACGGTGTCTCAAGGGAAGACAGAAATTAGAAGATGTAGATTGCTAATGCATACAGGAATGAGCAGCATTCTTTGTCATTGCCATGTACAGTATGTGCAGTTTGTGATGCAAGTGTACAGTTTTAATCCTTCATTTACGGGCTGCATTGTGATTGTCCAAGGTTCAGAAGTGGAAGAATATCCAGTTATAAAGAGAGCTGCCAAGGAGAATTTCATTTCTTGGAATTGATGGAGAAAGTTGCGAGTCAACAGTCTTCTGGGAAATGCAGTTCTTCCATCTGAGCCACAGTGGTGCGAATGTGCAGCGGTAGAGAGTGGTTTTCTTCAACAGTAGCAACTCAGTAGGGAGATTAAACAGAGGAAACAGCAGAATCATTGGTGGTTTTGGTTGCAGGTTTATCCCGGAGGTATTTTGGTTCAAAGCCCATGGAAATCTTCTAGCTTAGACACCCTCTTGGCACATGGGCAGGTTGACAAAAGTGAAGACATTGTATTCGATCAAGATGGAAAAGCAGAGGAAGATGGCATACAGAATAAGCACGTACACGCCCAGCTTAAAGTCTAACCTCCACTTGTTCACATGGATCCCCAGCACCTGAAGGTGGACAAACAAAATTATTCGTAAACAGCCAGGGAAAGCAATCTTCTGTATGGACACCTAAACAAGGTCATGCTGGAGCAGAAAATAGCTCTTTCTTATAGCATTAAGTAGGAATGGAAAAAATGTCCTACCCCAGTTTATTGTGATCTTCATTTAAATATGGATTTTCCTAAATATGGATTCGAACCGAAGATCGATCATATTCTCTATACCTATATTCAGTGGCTGTTTAAAAATGTATTTGTAAAGAGCTTCCAATCCTGGAGACGCTGCTGCATTCTACTCAGTCTACTCAATTGCATAGTTTGGACTAGAGGTCAACCAATATGTAATATATACTTAATGCAATATTTAATGCACGGCTAGCTGTGCATTAAATGACTTTAATGCACGACGTGGTGGCAAAGAAACCCCCGACGCTGTTCATGATGTTTGAAGCGCAATATTTAACCGGAAGGGTAAAAATGACAGTTATTTTCGGCAGTTACGGCTCATTAGATCTAGCATTCTGCCCACTTCAAATCAGACCGAAAGAGAGAGATGACAGTTGTGTGAATTGCCTGCATCTGTGCATCTCTCTCTACAAACAATGAAGCCGTTTAGTTACTTCAAATACAGCGATTTTACCCCCTTCTTGCTGAGAAATATAATGTAGCGATCTAGCATCTAGGGTGTTTTATTAATAAAAGTCGCGGGGCAGTGCTGACAATAAGTTTCTCGGTGTGCGCAGCGCGATCTGTGATCTCCGACCTCTCTCCCTCTCACGGTGTTTATGTGCGAGTGATGTGTGTGTGTGTGTGCATCAATTAAAGCAGCGGATTAATATAGAACAGTGATTAAACTGACTTGGAACTACCTGTGCATTGAGAGAGAATTTATACTTTTAAATGCAAGCAAAGTATAACTGAATCAACTCTATATACCCAGCTATAGAATTTTTGTAGAATATTTATCTTCAGTAGAATTAGAGCATCTAACTAAAACTAAAAAGGGGTGTCCACATATAAAATATTTGACCATGCATTGTATTTCTAAAGTGAATTGTCCTTAACATATACTCACAGTTAAAGCCACCGAACCCAGCAGCAGAACAACGGAGTAAATCAGTCCTTTACTGTTGATTTTAATCTAAATAGGACACAAAAAAAAGGTAATTTTACGGTCTTTGTGGAATTGTGTGTGCGTGCATGTTTGAGGAGTGACAAAGACAGATACCACAGAGCCGTAGTTGACAGCCATTGTCTGGATGCCCCAGGGAACGCCAAGTCCAACCAGGATATCAAAGATGTTACTGCCAATCGTGTTGGAGACAGCCATGTCCCCCAGGCCTGAGCACACAGACACAAAGCCAAAGCTGGAAAGTCAGCTCAACATGGATGAAAGATAAGCGAAGGCAGAAAAAACAAGACAGTTAAACAAAGGAGAGCTCTACCTTGCCGTGCGACAATGAGACTCGCTATGCAGTCGGGAACACTGGTGCCCGCAGCCAGGAAAGTTATACCCATAATGACATCTGGGATTCCAAGTGTGTATCCAACAATTGTGACCTGCACACAGCAACCCACATGAATAAGCCTCAATGAAATGCTTATAGGAATAGTGATGTAACATGCCTGCAAGAAGAATAACCTAAAATATGTTAAAAATGCAAATAAATGGTGTCAAAACAAAGACTATTTCAAACTGATGTCCAAGGACCCCAAGGGGCTGCAAGGGGTCTAAGAAAACTTGAGGAAAAAATAAAAAGATTTTATCAAATTTACTTTTTAAGATCTGCACAAATAAAATTAATACCATATGAGCAGGGTAGGGCAATGTATACAGTACCATATTAAACCGTAAAATTACTGTAAAAGCATAATTTACAGTTCAGATACAAGTTTTCACAAAAACAAAACGTTTTATAAAATGATAAACTTTACATATGCTTATAGGAATAGTGATGTAACATGCCTGCAAGAAGAATAACCTAAAATACGTTAAAAATGCAAATAAATGGTGTCAAAACAAAGACTATTTCAAACTGATGTCCAAGGACCCCAAGGGGCTGCAAGGGGTCTAAGAAAACTTGAGGAAAAAATAAAAAGATTTTATCAAATTTACTACGGCAGTCACAGTTAAGATTTTAAATGTTGCATTAACACACAGGGTTTCTGCAGGATTTTTAAGCTCAAATTTAAGTCCTTTTTAAGACCTGCACAAATAAAATTAATACCATATGAGCAGGGTAGGGCAATGTATACAGTACCATATTAAACCGTAAAATTACTGTAAAAGCATTATTTACAGTTCAGATACAAGTTTTCACAAAAACAAAACGTTTTATAAAATGATAAACTTTACATTTCAGCCTTTAAACAATTTTTAAGAAAATGGATGAGTCAAAAGTATTAATTATTATTAGTGGTCGACCGATATATCGCCAAGGCCGATATATCGGCCGATATTTGGCATTTTTTTAAATATCGGCATCGGCCGATAAGTTTTCCTGTTTGGCCAATGCGTTCTAGGCGGGACTTTTATTTAGACGGCAGGGCAGACTTTTGTTTTGACAGCGCTGAGAACGGCAGCGCCTGAGCACACAGTGCTTACATTCTCCCTCTTGTTCGCTGTTGTCGTTCAGTTCTGTCTAATATGGATTATCTAATATGTCTGTCTAATAATCAGATAGACAAAGGAACAAAGGAATTAAACAAAATAATTAAAATGTATACAAAAATTATTATATATCGGCATCGGCCGATAAGTTTTCCTGTTTGGCCGATGAGTTCTAGGCGGGACTTTTATTTAGACGGCACGACAGACTTTTATTTTGACAGCGCTGAGAACGGCAGCGCCTGAGCACACAGTGCTTACATTCTCCCTCTTGTTCGCTGTTGTCGTTCAGTTCTGTCTAATATGGATTATCTAATATGTCTGTCTAATAATCAGATAGACAAAGGAACAAAGGAATTAAACAAAATA